GAATTATTTGATAGTTGAAATTTAAAATCTAATTCATTTTAATTATTCGATAGTAATGTTTTATTTGTGTGTTTTCTAATTATCGGATAATCTGATAGCTATAATTCCATTGCAATGAACGAATCCAAATTTCAAATAAATTAATTTTTTACTTTTTAAGCAAATATATAAAATGTTGATTTATTAAAATTCGTTTTTTGTTCAAAATTTGAATAGATTTTTTTGGAAAAAGTTTATAGCAAATTGTATTAATTTTTATCCTTAACTATTTTTTTATCAAAATGGACTTTCACCACTTTCAAAAAAAACGGCTCATATCGTATCCAAGATTTGCATGCCCCCGAAATTCCGTTTTCTTTCGGCTTGGGAGACCACGGGTGGTGTGTATTAAACATCCTGACAATCAGCCCTGTGCTGAATCACTCGCGTTAACTTTAACGTGCATGTTATCCGTCAAACACGTTATGTGGCTCCAACTGGTGTGTCAAACCGTTATATTATAACAGGCGCACGCTATCACCGAACGTTATATTAAGAAATAGCGCTTCAGAATAACAGTATCAAATCACATGCCGCTATCGAACGTGCGTTATAGTACACGATGCATCTCGAATCTGAAATATGCATTTTAAGTCGCTGCATTACTTTTTTATGGATAAAGTACAGTACCAAATTAGTTCATACCAACTAGAAACCTGTATTTTCAAAAGAATATATGTTTGTAATTTGTAACTGACCTACACTGGACTAGATAGAGCGCACTATTCAATGAATGAATTGATTCGAATGTTTTTATTCGATAGTTGCAATCATTCATTTAGTAATTATTCAATAGTCGAAATCATTCGATAGTGCCCATCACTAGTTTGAACCATTCTAATGCGGGGCTGATTGTCTTTATGCCCCACAGGTTACTGGCCTCAACTTGTTTAGCCTGGCCCTTCCCGGCCGGTGGCAGTGTTTGCTGAAGTACTTAATCGTCCAGTTCCCACCGTAGGAGGGAACAGAGGAAACCCGACGTCACGAATACAAACATAACAAATTAGTGGAACAACTGGAAAGCTCACTTTGAATAACGGATGTTCACGAATTTCTGCTATCTAATTGTACGGTGATTCTTCTACGTCTGATTCCAAATTTCACTCAAAACTTTAAAATTTCATACAGAATGCGGTTATAAATGAAATTCTCGACAAATCAAATTGATTTATTTACTTAGTTAAAGTTTTAAAAAATTAAAGGTGTGTTATGGCATCCATAACATCCATAGCCGGGACGGCTTACACATAATACGTATTGTTGCCGGCAAAATCCCCCTAGAATTGTAAACGGCATTGTCTTTAACCACATTCAACATAGAAACGAATAGCCGTCAATTCCAACCTAAGAAGCTTATTGAAACTGACGTAACTAAAAAATGATATACAGGATGACTCACGGTGAATGGCACGTTAGACGTATACGGAAAACGCGACTTTACTATTTAAAATCAGTATATGATAATGTTTATAGATTTGCAATTGCTTTCCTAAAGTTTTCCTTTACAAATGTCTAACAGTTTTTAAGTACCTAATTAATTATTTTCCAATTTATCTATTCTCAACTTAGTTCTAATCTAATCTTCTTTTTATTCTTTGTAAAGACCCTTTGGTCTGTTTATTTCGTGTGGTCAATGTTGTTAATTCTGCTGTGATATGGATGTCCAACTATCCTTCCATCTTTTCGGTGGTCTTCCGATGATTCTTTTACCAACTGGATTCCCATTCGACACAATCTTGGCTATTCTTTCGGCGTCCATTCTTTCTACATGGCCCCGCCAGCATCTTCTGCGCTTTTGTCCCCATCTGATTACATCCTCCACCTTGCAGGTCTGTCTTATTGTTGCGCTCCTCATTCTATCCTATAGTGTTTTTCCCGCTATTGACCTTAAGAGTCTTCATCCCTGCCGTTCTTAACATACATTTTCTTCGTTTGTGTCTTTTCGGGTCTCGATGCCGTAGGTCAGTACTGGTCTTACGCATGTTTTGTATATTCGAACCTTACTGTCGATGCTCATATGTTTGTTGTTCCATGTGACGTCTCTTAAGCAACGGGATGTTAACGAGGCTTTGTTGATCTGGGATTTGAAATCTTTAATTAGTTCGTTGCAGCTAGAAATATCTACTCCAAGGTATCTAAACGTTGTGACTTGCCCGAAAATTTCATTATTTATAATCGCCTTCCATCTCGTTGGTTCCCTGGCAAATGTCATACATTTTGTCTTGGATATTGATATTTGCATATTAAATTGTGTGCTGACATGATTGAATCTGTGAAGTTGTCTTTGCAAATTGTCCTCCGTTTCTGTCAATATTGTCGCGTCATCAGCGTAACAAATTATACTTATGGGTTTTCTGTTGATCCTATACCCCATTCTTAAGCCGCTGATCTCTTCAATGATCTCGTCCATAATCAGGGTGAACAGAAACGGGCTTAAGCTTATCACCTTGTCTTATACTCTGCGATATCGGTATGTCATTTGTTGTCTTATGATCAACTTTAATTCGGGTTGAATTGTCTGTGTTTAGGCAGTAACTGTTTTTATAATGCTTGCTGGCGTTCGTTTTTTCTTCAAGGTGTTGATAATGTCCTCCAGTCGGACACGGTCAAATGCTTTTGTTAAATCGATAAAACATGCAAAAGCGGGGTTGTCGAATCCTATTGCCTGTTCATTTATTTGGCGTATGATAAATAGGGCGTCAGTTGTAGACCTATTTCTCCGGAATCCCTGCTGTTCGTCTTTAATCTCGATATGTTGTTCCAGGCTATCTTTAATAAGGCCGGTGAATAATTTTATAGAGGAGCATAGAAGAGTTATACCAGTGTAGTTTTCTGGGTTGGGTTTTTGTCCTTTTTTGAAGATGGGTATGGTGAAGCTCTTGTGCCAATCGTAGGGGATTGTTTGTCAGCTTAATATTCCATTTAAGAGTTGCCTTAGTTTTTTTGTGAGTTCATTACCGCGATACTTTAGAAGTTCGTTGGGTATATTGCCCACACCCGGTTATTTTCTATTTTTAAGCTTTTTTGTTTTCTTTTTTACTTCTTCTTCTGTGAATGATATTGGGACCTCCTCTGCTTCTTCTGCCTGCTCAGCTCTCATCTTTGTGTCTCGG